CATAAAAATTTAACCGCTGCTATTTTCAAGATTGCTGAGGGACCACAGACTCCCACACCAGAGTGTGTAGCTCCAGTGCGATGGGATGAATGAAAACTGGGCTCAAAAGATGCTGGCCACACGCTTGGCAACCGAGGCAGAAACTGCTGTGGCGGACAACTCGTGTCTAAGGAGAACCACAAGCAAGAGACTCGTGTTTTCCCCCTACCATTTTGGGCATTTCTCTTCAGCTCAACCTTCTTCTTCTTCTTTTGGGGGATTCAGCTGTTATTTCAGAAAAGCAGACTGAATGTATACAGGTAATCCTCGACTTACGACCACAAATGGAATCAACCGCTAAGCAAGATACTTGCTAAGTGAATTGTATTTATTTATTTCTTTAATTTTTATACCGCCCTTCTCCCGAAGGACTCAGGGCAGTGCACAGCCAAAAATAAAAAACACATATAAAATTTAAAACAGTTTAAAAGGAATTAAATAATTTGGCCCATTTCAATTAAGACAAAGACAACCCATATAATTTAAAATTGATCTTGGTATTCAGGCCAGCACAGCTTGTTGAAACAACAGCGTCTTGAGGGCACAACGAAAGGTGCGTAGGTCAGGGATCATCCGTAAATCCTGGGGCAATTCATTCCAGAGGGCAGGTGCCCCCAAAGAGAAGGATCTCCCCCTGGGAATCGCCAGTAGACATAGTTTGACCGACGGCACCCCGAGGAGTCCCTCTCTGTGGGAACGTACTGGCCGGTGGGAGGCTATCGGTAACAGAAGGCGATCTTGTAAGTACCCAGGTCCTAAGCCATGGAACGCTCTGAAGATAGTAACCAACACCTTGAATCGCACCCAGAAGACCTCCGGGAGCCAGTGCAGCTCGCACAGGAGAGGTGTTACATGGGTGCACCGTGTCGCTCCCATAATCACCCGCACGGCTGCATTCTGGACCAAGTGGAGCCTCCGGGTATTCTTCAAGGGGAGCCCCATGTAGAGAGCATTACAGTAGTCCAGACGGGATGTGACGAGGGCGTGAGTGACCGTGCGCAAGGAGTCCCGATCCAAAAAGGGTCGCAACTGGCAGATCAGGCGAACCTGATAAAAAGCCCCTGATTTTACGAGCTTTTTTGCCATGGTTGTTAAGCAAATTACTTGTAGTTATTAAGTGAATCCGGCTTCCCCCATTTGCTTGTTGGAAGATGGCTGGGAAGGTCATACATGGTGGTCAAATGACCCTGGGATGCTGCAACCCTTGTAAATATATGCTGGTTGCCAAGGACTCAAATTCTGATCATGTGACCATAGTGTTACCGCAATGGTTGTAAGTGTGAGGACCAGTTATAAGTAACTTTTTTCAGTGCCATTGTAACTCTGAACAGTCACTAAATGAATGGTTGTAGGTCAAGGACCATTCAACTTACAACAGTTCATTCAATAACCGTTCAATGTTATGATGGCACTGAAAAAAGTGACATGACCACTTTTCAGTTACAACCTTTGCAGCATCCCCAGGGTCACGTGATCCAAATTCAGCTGCTTGGCAATGGGTTCATACTTACGACCGTTGCTGTGTCCCCAAGGTCACGTGATCCCCTTTTGCCACCTCCTGACAAGCAAAGTCAATGGGGAAGCCAGATTCACTTAACAAACGGGTTGCTAACTTTACCAACTGCACTGATTCACTTAACAACTGAGGCAAGAATGGTCGTAAAATGGGGCAAAACTCACTTAACAAATGTCTCACTTAACATCAGAAACTTTGGGCTCAACTGTGATCCTAAGTTGAGGACTACCTGTATTAGAAACCAAGACTAGAATTGTGCCTCTGAAGACCCCTGCGCTGAGATACCCAAGTGGCGACCACAATCGCCACTTGGGTATCTCACTTCCCAAAAGTGGGAAACCCCACTTTTGCACATCCTCAGAGGCCTATCTCAGCAAAACCATTTTGGAAGAGAAAGATGGCTATGCTGCAATCTCCCCTGCCTCTTGAAAATCCCTGAGTTCCCCACCCAAATTGTTCACACAGGAAATGCAAGGGAACCGTGAACTTGTTTCTGTGCCAATTCTCAGTCACCCAGGTCATCTCAGCCCCCCCCCCCGAGAGGGCTCGCAATCTGGGTGTCCTCCTGGACGCACGGCTGTCTTTAGAAGAGCATATGACGGCCGTGGCCAGGGGGGCCTTTTTCAGGTTCGCCTGATTCGCCAGTTGCAGCCCTTTCTGGACCGGGACACCTTGCGCACGGTCACTCACGCCCTTGTCACCTCCCGGCTGGACTATTGTAATGCTCTCTACATGGGGCTCCCCTTGAAGAGCACTCGGAGGCTCCAGCTGGTCCAGAATGCGGCCGCGCGGGTGGTTATGGGTGCAACTCGTTGTGCCCACATGACACCCCTCCTGCGCGAGCTGCACTGGTTCCCAGTGGTCTTCTGGGTGCGATTCAAGGTGTTGGTCACCACCTTTAAAGCGCTCCATGGCACAGGACCCGGGTACCTTCGAGACCGACTTCTGCCACCAATAGCCTCCCACCGGCCAGTTCGCTCCCACAGAGAGGGTCTCCTCGGGGTGCCATCAGCCAAGTTATGTCAGCTCGCGACACCCAGGGGGAGGGCCTTCTCTGTGGGAGCCCCAGCCCTGTGGAACGAACTACCCCCGGAAATACGTACGATCTCTGACCTCCGGGTGTTTCGTTGTGCACTCAAGACCCTGTTGTTCCGCCAGGCCGGGCTATCAACACAATAATTTTAAATTGGGTTTTAAATTCCTGGGGTTTTAAATTAAGCCAAATTCATTTAATAATTTTAAACTATTTTAATTGATGTTTCTTGTGTTTTTAATAGGCTGTACACCGCCCTGAGTCCTTCGGGAGAAGGGCGGTATAGAAATAAAATTATTTATTTATTTATTTATTCATTCATTCATCTGTCTCAATCAAAGGTGCTTTTTTTTTTCTTCAAAAGGCAACTGGACTGTTTGTTTGTTTTTTCCTTGAGGAAGAAGAACCAAACAAAATTTCGTTTCTCTTCCCACCATCACAACTGATAATGTTTCTTGGATGAGAATTTTTTTTTTTTTTTAAATTTGATTTATATGCCGCCCTTCTCCGGAGACTCAGGGCGGCTTACAGTGCGTTCAGCAATAGCCTTCATACTTTTGTATATTTATACAAAGTCAGCTTATTGCCCCCACAAACTGGGTCCTCATTTAACCTACCTTAGAAAGGATGGAAGGCTGAGTCAACCTTGAGCCTTGGCGAGATTCGAACCAGCAGAAATTGCAGGCAGCTGTGTTAATAACAGGGTGCTTTAAACCACTGTAGTACCAAGGCTCTTGAAAACGTTTCACTCTTCTCCCTCAAGGGGAAAAAAAACAGTTCAGTTGCCTTTTGGAAAAGCGCCTTTGAGACAGTTTTTAACAGATTAACAGAGTTGGGAGGGATCTTGTAGGTCATCTAGTCCAACCCCCTGCCCAAGCAGGGAACCGTATATAATTTCAGACAAATGGCAGTCCAGTCTCTTCTTGAAAGCTTCCAGTGATGAAGCTCCCACAACCTCTGGAGCCAACTTCTGTTCCATTGGTTGGTTGAAACCAATGTTAACCTAGTGATTAACAGGTTAAGGCACCAAGCTAGAAAGCAGCTTGAAAACTGGCTGGGGGACTTTGGGCCAATCAGCAAGAGACCGTGTGTCCTAGTCCCACATTAAGCATGAAAGCTGGCTAGGTGATTTTTTTTTTTAATTTGATTTATATGCCGCCCTTCTCCGGAGACTCAGGGAGGCTTACGATGCGTTAAGCAATAGCCTTCATCCTTTTGTATATTTATACAAAGTCAGCTTATTGTCCCCACAAATTGGGTCCTCATTTTACCTACCTTAGAAAGGATGGAAGGCTGAGTCAACCTTGAGCCTGGGGAGATTTGAACTTGCAGTAATTGCAAGCAGCAGATGTTAATAACAGTGCTTTAGTCCACTGTACTACAGGCTCTTTTATCTCTGCTATTCCCCCCCTCCCCCTCCAGCTCTGAAGTTGAGACCGGCTCCGCTTTGCATGTATGGCAGATCCTTTAGGACAGTGTCAACTTTTAAAATATGTGGATTTCAACTCCCAGGATTCTCTAGCCAGCTTGCAATCACTGGATAGAAGTTATTTATGCTGATGTGGCATTGCTCAATGGCTATTGATGATGTTAGCTTAGTAGGGCTTAAGAACACCATAAAGCGGTGTTCTTTTTTATACAAAGTCAGTTTATTGCCCCCACAATCCAGGTCCTCATTTAACCTACCTTAGAAAGGATGGAGGCTGAGTCAACCTTGAGCCTGGTGAGATTTGAACTTACAGTAATTGCAGGCAGCTGGTGTTAATCACAATGCTTTCTGTCTGCTGAGCCACCAGGCCCTTTTATCAATCAGGAGGAGCCTGTAAATTCTAGTCTTGCCTTAGGCATAAAAGCCAGCTGGGTGACTTTGGAGCCAGTCACTCTCTCTCTCAACCCACAAGTTTGTTGTGGGGAAAATAGGAAGGTGTGTGAGTTATGTTTGCCACCTTGAGTTATTTGTAAAAATAATAAAGGTGCAATACAAATAAATAAAAATACAATAGAAAAATAAAATAACTTCATCCAACCCTACTATTCAGATTGGAAGCTGCATGCATTAATTGTCCTTTTATCACCTCCATGCAGCATAAGGAAATTTAAATTTATATAGGCAAGTTGTGGAAAAATCCCAAATCAATCGATATGCAAAATCCACTTTAAAAATGCCACTGTATTTTTAGCCCTTGTTTTGAATTTACAAAAAAAAAAAAAAAAAAGCTTGCATCACAACACACAGAATACCAGCCAATGGGCTTGATTTATTCTCTATAATGTCAAACTTGAAAAGGTTAACCACCATTATTAGCTGTCAGTGAGATTTCAGAGAGTTGGGGTTTATCACTGGAATACTGAAGGCAGCAGAGGGGGGTGGCAGGGAGGGTGGCAAGGGGGTGGCAGGGAGTGAGAGGGGCACTTCAGCATTGTCATTAGATTGCCAGATGGCAGCGTCCATCCCTTCCAAGGAGCATATCCCTAAGTAGTTCTCTTCGCATCTATAATTGAATACGGCTCAAAATACAATCATTGCGGCGTAGAAAGATTAGAGATATCAGATATGAAGAGAAGAACGCATAGAAAAAGAAACACCAAACGGGTTTTACCAAAGGAGTGGAAAAAAATACCCAACGTTGTCATGAATCAAGATTGAACAGAAGCCAAAGTATGATGCTTGGAGATCCTGAATGAACTTCTTCTTCTTCTTTTTTTTTTTTTTTTTGGTCTCCAAGCAGTAAAACAGATGTCTTGACAACCTGTGCTGATTAAATATCTGCAGGATATTTGCCAAAGACACTGGTGTTTTTTTTAAAGAGGAGGAAGAAGGTAAGCACATCCCCCAAGTCTTGATTCTAAGTAAGGCAGTGTTTTTCAACCTTGGCAGCTTTAAGCTGTATGGAGTTCAACTCCCAGAATTCCCCAACCAGCTAAGCTAAGCCAGTTGAGAAACACTGATTAAGGGACATGCAGTGGGACCTGTTTAAAAAAACATTATCTTACGACCACAATTGAGTCCAAAATTTCTGTTGCTAAGTGAGACGTTTAAGTGAGTTTTGCCCCATTTTATGACTTTTCTTGCCACATTTGTTAAATAAAATACTGCAGTTGTTAAATTTGTAAAATGGTTGCTAAGTGAAAATGGCTTCCCCATTGTCTTTGCTTGTCAGAAGGTCGCAAAAGATGATCACATGATCCCAGGATACGGCTACTGTCATAAATATGAACCAGCTGCCATGCATCTGAAATTTGATCATGTGACCATGGGGATACCACAATAGTCAAAAGTGTGAAAAATGTCTTGCTCTAAGTCACCCTCTGTCTCAAACCAAAAGAATCCCAGCTAAGGATAAGTCCCAAAAGTCCCCTCTACCCTAATCCCAAGTCATCTCAATTTAGGAAGCTCTCTCATACCAAGTTAGAATTTTCTAGAATTTTTTAGATTTCAAGGCCAATCTATTCTGAAATGTCTAGGTAGGTCTACCCTAGAAGAATTTTTCCCTTGGCCCATCCACAACAGAACACCAGAGTTGGAAGGGATCTTAGAGGTCTTCTAGTCCAACCCCCTGCTCTGGCAGGCAGGAAACCCTATACTTTATACCATTTCAGATAAATGGTTGTCCAATCTCTTCTTAAAATCTTCCATTGTTGGCACACTCATAATTTCTGGAGGCAAGTCATTCCACTGATTAATTGGTCTCACTGTCAGGAAATTTCTCCTTAGTTCCAGATTGGTTCTTTCCTTCATTAGCTTCCATCCAGTGGTGGGTTGCTCCCGGTTCACACCGGTTCACAAGAACCGGTAGTAAAAATTTTTAATAGTTCGGAGAACCGGTAATAAGATTGGCTGGCCACCCCCAGAACCGGTTCCCGGCTCAGTCGCCATTCGCTTACCCCGCCCACTCCCAATCTATTGCTGCCTCCTGAGTCCCAGCTGATGGCTAGAGGGAAAAAAACTGTTTAAAATCTTGCCAAGGAGCTTCAAAGGGCCACCCTAAAACTGATCAGTGTTAAAAGAAAACAAATGAGTAGACCGGTACCTGCAAAAATAAATGGGTAGACCCAGTGGTGGGATTCTACTTCGGTAGAACCGGTTCTTAAGTAGTTAAGCCAGTGGTTGCCAAAGTGGGCGGTACCGCCCCCTGGGGGGCGGTGGGATGCCTTAAGGGGGCGGTAAGAGGCAAGGGGGGTGGCAGGGGGGCGCTAGAGGCAAAAGAGGGCGACAGAGGGGGCTAAGTGGCAAGGAGGGTGGCCCCCACACTTTGGCCAGTGCCTGGCAGCAGTTACCTCCTTGCAAGCAAACAGCACGAAAAAAACAGCCCCTTTCAGCTTCAGCATAGGTTAATTAGCACAAGTTGATTAGATCGGCCTCCTGACTCTCAGCTGATTTGCTCTCAGCTGTTTTGCGCAGGGCTCTGTTGCTAGCTGCAAAGAGTGCTGGAGCAGATTTTTTTTCCCCTAGCTATGCTGAAAAAAACAAAACTGAAAGTAAAGCAGGGTCTTTGCTGCAACGTGACAAAATGAGACAGAGAGAGATTTCTTTTTCTTTTTCCTCACCAAAAAAGGTAGGTGCAAACAATGGGAAATTTCGGGCAAAAGAGGAGGTTCAAGATTTTAAAACACAAAAGAGAAAAAGCTCTATTTAACTAGGGAATTGTAATAATTGAGATACTATTAATTGTATATTGTGTTGAAAGCAGAAATGGTTAAGTTGTGGTTTGCAGGAATATATGGGAGAAATTATTTGGTTTATTATTATTGGTAAATATAATTAATTGATTTGTAAGAAATTGGATTGCATGGTAATAATTGGAATATTCATGTTCATATTGATTAATATACAAAAAAGATAGTTATATAACTGATTTATATTAAAATGTTGAATTTGTATTAAACAACTGTAATATTACATAATTAACCAATGTGAGGATGGATATAAAAATAGATGAAAATGGGAAGGGGTATAATATAGAATAGAAGGGAAAAATTGAATTTGATTAAGATTAGAGATGAGGATGAAGGGTAATATTAGTTTTTTAAAATAATAGATGAGGAATAAATATGGCAAAAAGGAAATATAGAAATTGTAAATTTAATTGAAATGACTAAACATTGTTTAAATTTGTGAACCGGCCAAATACTCTGTTCAAAGAAAATACATTGTATGTTTGTATGTGTGTTTCTAATTATTGCTATTTATTCATATTTGTTCTCTTTTATTCTTTAAAGTTTAACAATTCATTCTTTATCATAATATCTTTATATTTGTTTGGGGTTGGTTTTCTTCCCTTTCATCTTTTTTATTGTACAGCAATCTTTCTCCTGAAACCTACCACCTCTCTCTTTTCTTTCCTTCTTACTTTCTCTTCCCCCCCCGCTTCTTCTCCTCCCTACTTCCTCTTCCTTTCTCCTTCCCCTCCCCTCTTCCTCCCTCTCTTACCCTCACTCCTACTCTAATTTCCCTTCCCTTCCTTCCCCCCTTCTCTTCCTTCCCTCTCTCTCCTTCCTTCTTCCATCTCTCTTCTCCTTCCTTCATCCCTCTCTACTGCTGTATCCTTTTGTGCATATGGATTACTCAGAGGGCTGAAAAGTTATTTCTGACTGGTCCTCGCACTTTTGACCAGTCCTCGAACTTACGACTGTCCTCACATTTTACGTTTTTGCCCTATCTTGTCACCATGGTGGAGAGAACCAGTTGTGAAATGAGTGACACGGTTGTTAAGAATGCTACAATGGGCATAAATGGTGACCAGTCATAAATGCGAAGACTGGTCAAAAGTGCGAGGACCTGTCAGAAATCACTTTTTTCAGCCCTCTGGGTAGTCCTTTTGTGTATATGGACTATTCAGAGGGCTGAAAAGGTTATTTTTGACTGGTCCTCGCACTTTTGGCCAGTCCTCGAATTTACGACTGTCCTCACATTTTAGGCTTTTTGCCCTATCTTATCACCATGGTGAAGAGAAGCAGTTGTGAAATGAGTGACATGGTTGTTAAGAATGCTGCACGGGCATAAATGTGAGGATGGTCGTAAGTGTGAGGACCAGTCAAAAGTGCGAGGACCTGTCAGAAATGACTTTTTTCAGCCCTCTGAGTAGTCCCTATACACATAGCCATGGCCACCCGGTCACATGACCAGCTAGCCATGGCCACCCAGTCACATGACATCCAAGCCACGCCCACAAAATAAGCCACGCCCACAGAACCGATAGTAAAAAAATTTAGAACCCACCCCTAGTTCCATCCACGACTTCTTGTCCTGCCTTCAGGTGCTCTGGAGAATAGGTTGACCGCCTCTTTTTTGGGGCAGCTCCTCAAATATTGGAACACTGCTGTCATGTCACCCCTGATCCATTTTTTCACTAGACTAGACATACCCAATTCCTGCAGCCATTCTTCATATGTTTTAGCCTCCAGTTTTTTATTTTATTTATTTATTTATTTATTTATTTTCAATTTATATACCGCCCTTCTCCCTGAGGACTCAGGGCGGTGCACAGCCAGAATTAAAAACATGAAATACAAATATTAAAAACAATTAAAATCTATATAAATTTAGCCCAAAATTTAAAAAACCACAAACCAATTAAACATTTAAAAATTTAAAAAAATTTCTTCCTAAGCCAGCCTGGCTTGCTGGAAAAAGTGGGTTTTAAGGGCATGGCGGAAGGCACTGAGGTCTTGGATTCTCCTTATCTCTGGGGGCAGCTGATTCCAGAGGGTAGGTGCCCCCACAGAGAAGGCTCTCCCCCTGGGGGACACCAGCCTACATTGATTGGCTGATGGCACCCTGAGGAGGCCCTCTCTGTGGGAGCGCACGGGTCACTGGGAGGTTGTCGGTAGCAGCAGGCGGTCTCGAAGATAGCTAGGCCCTATGCCATGGAGTGCTTTAAAGGTGATAACCAACACCTTGAAGCGCACCCAGAAGACCACTGGGAGCCAGTGCAGCTCGCGCAGGAGTGGTGTTACATGGGAGCGCCATGCTGCTCCCGTCACTACCCACGCTGCTGCGTTCTGGACCAGCTGGAGCCTCCGGGTGCCCCTCAAGGGGAGCCCCATGTAGAGAGCATTGCAGTAGTCAAGGCGAGAGGTGACGAGGGCGTGAGTGACTGTGCACAAGGAATCCCGATCAAGAAAGGGCCGCAACTGGCGAATCAGGCGAACCTGATAAAAGGTCCCCCTTAGTTCCTTAATCATCTCTCTTGCTCTTCTCCTGTAAAGTTTCAGCTATTTTACTGAGGGAAACCTGCATTAATCTCAAGAATCAGAGCTCTGAATTGAGGTCCTAGGCGCAATTTCATCTCTTTCTGGTTCAGCAATTGCCCTCCCATGGAGTCCTTAGCTGATCAATTCAGCTGGGATTTGCAACTCTGTGGTTTTTAAGAGAAACAGAAATGGGGGAATGGTTAGACTATATCCTGACAGTTGGCACACGCCAAACAAGATTCCACTCAAACAAACGAATTGCAGGTTTTTATGAAGGCAGAATTTGTTACATCCAAACATCCAAAGTCTGTGGAATTGAAGAGGAGGAGGAAAAAAAACCCCAACATTTTAGAGATGTTTCCCCAAAGAACATGTAAATTCTCGAGACATATATAGAAAGACAGAAGATCAAATCCACAGGCCAGATGGCAGAGTTTATTTATGTTAGAGAAAGATAGGAATTAAAAATAAATATTTGATGCTTCACATTTATAGCAACTCATGTTCACAATCCTTATCATAACAGAGAGGCTCTTGGGAAGAGGCCTTTCTCTCCAACCACAGAATCTTTCTGGAATTCTGAGCTTCAGAAGGGTCAATCCACAATACAAGCCAATATTGGTTTA